AAGGAAGACTTGGGACATGAAAGATTCCATATGTCGATAGGAACATTCCATTTGGAAGACAGGTGCTTAATCAGTTGAAACCGAATCGTAAAAGCAGGGATGAAGGAGAACACGTTTTTGCCTGGAGATGGAATTTGAGAGCTGGGTGGATGAGCTAACTGTTTGCATAAATTGCACAGCACTGGCGCTTTTGGAGCGGACACTCCTGCTAACGCTAAGTCTCACTGGGTAGTATAATGAAAAGGAAATAAATCTTTACAAGAGGACAGAAGTACAGAATGAAGATGGGCTAAAACTGTATTGATGATCAAATGCTATCATCGAATCGCTAGCAGAAAGGATTGCCCTTTGTCACATGCCTAAGGCACTGTTCTAAATGAACAGTAGATAGGAGAGGGGAATTCTGTAGAGAGTGTAAATTATATTCTCTTGATAATATTTTATCCTTCCTTTTGGCTGTAGAATACCCAAACAGTATACATGAGAGGAAAGGAAGACAGTTACGTGGATGGAAGTATAGCTTTATTTCTTGTTGCTGAAATACAGATTCTCTGCTGCTATGTCCAGACTTTTATAAACTATCACCTGGATCCAAGTAATTACAGAAATCTGGACTTGTAGTTTTCAAACAATAGCAGGTGCAAGTGTACACACACAAACAAACACATGGGAGTTCCATGAAAAAACTTGCTTGTGAAACTCAAGGACAATGATGTGTCCTTGAGTTTTATCCTGTGAACCACCCTGAGACCTACAGGTGTACGGTGGTATACAAATTTAATAAATAACCACAACAACAATCTACAACTTGTCTGGAGTTGAAAAGACACCTTCTGCTGTAGTAGCAGGAAACATAAAAGTCCTCTGCTGGAAAACTTGTAGAGTTACTACTAGTCACAGTAGACAGTTCTGGGATAGGTGGACCAGTAATCTGAACTGGTAAAAGGCATGTTCCTGTGTTTCCTTAAATAAAGGTCAACCTTGCATCTGGTTGTTCTGACAAATTGCAAAGGATTCCTGAGAGGAGCAGGATTAGTAAGGAGATTTTTCGCCTAGTCTGCCTACATGAACCCATCGCCGCATGAGATTTGTGGTTGAATTAGTGGTTCCCAATTGGTGGTCCTCAGACCCAGAGGGTCCATGCAGCCTACCCAGAAGGTCCATGGCACATACTTGTCAACTATCTGGGGCATGCCATGGGGGGGGCATGCTTTCCCATGGGTCAGAGAAGACATGCATCCCCGTTTTACACTGGGACATGTTGGAGGGTATTGGTGGCACATTCACATAACAAAAACTACAACCGATATATCAACATTATTATTTTTTTCAAAAGTAGAGAGTCCAAGACTTGGCTTTTGAAGAACAGGGAGTCTGCAGTACTTAGCCAGTGGGGAATCACTGACCCAGATGATGTCATTAGGAAGAGACTGCTTTGCTCAGAGTTAAGTTAGCGGTTGTCAAGCACTTGAAGAAATCAAACCTGATTCAGCTCTCCTAATAATGCATGCTGCCAGAAATGGCAGAATCCTGCCACCAACTACTTAACAGCACCAGATTCAGCAAGCTTAATAGCTCATAAAAGTCAGAAAATACCAGGAAGTGCATAGCAGCTGAGTTAATGTCTAGCAAAGGGAAAAGTACTTGACTGACAGAACAAGCTGCACACTCCAGCCCCAGACAGAATGGAACCATTCAAAACAGCATCACCAGAGCAGTTTGATTTCTAGTCCCCTGGAATGTAGACTAAGTGGATTAGGCACTTCAATCAATTCAAAGAATCCTCTGAATAAAACCTGAAGTTTACCAAGATGAAATCATGATGTCAGCAAAAAGCTCAGTATAGGAAAGTGTTAGAAGCCTTTCATGGGGAAGGCAAATGTACAATTCCCCAGGAAGAGACACTGTAGTCCACAGTTGCTTCCTGGGAACATATATATATTTTTTAACATTCCTATGCAGTCGCATGGACTGTGTTGTAAGCAGCTGTAAATATCAAAATGTCAGAAGTCCTTAAAAAAATTTTTTTTTAACAGGTCAAAGTAGAATCAGTTTTGTACATACATAAAACCAGCACAGGTTGGACTAAGGTTGATCTCTGCACCCCACCCCCACCCCCCAGAAGCTTGAACGCTTCCAGTAGAAAGATTTCCCATAGTCTACAGTCTAAAGAACATCCCTTCAGCTAGATGATGTCATCAGAAAGGGACGGCTTTGTTAAGAGTTAAGATAGCTGTAATAAAGCACTTGAACAAGTCAGACCAGTCTCAGCTCTCTTAATAATACAGGGTCCAGCTGCAGAAAGCATAAACCATGCCACATGAGTAACGGGGCCTGAAGCAATCAGCAAAAGATCTGCCCCACACTTTCATATATATTACAGCGAATCCAGGCCAGTAAAACATGTGTGTGCCATTAACAGTTGACAGTGGGCACATTTTCTTCTCAAGTTCAAAAAAAGTGACTTGGCTCTAACTGGTTGGTAAATATGTGTTTATATGCATAGTCCACTTTAAGAACATATAAAAACCAACTGAAAATATCCCAGATGTTAAAGCCTCAACACCTCCCTACTGGTACAAGACATCCGAAAGTCAGTCAGTACGAAAAGATCTTGCCAGGCTTCTGAAAGATACACGGGCTTGTGTTTTGGAGATTATCTCAGGAGAACCCTTACTTACTATATTTATATGGCTGTCCAATAACCAAAATTCTCTCAGTAGCTCACATAAAATAAAATGCAAAACAAAACATACGTACTATAGACTCAGGTCATATCCACACTATACATTTAAAACACTCTTATGCCACTTCAACAACCGTAGCTTTTCTAGTTCTGTGAGCTACAGTTCTCTGCATTCTTTGGAGGGAAGACATGATTGTTAAAGTAGTACAAGAGTACTTCAAATGTATGGATTTGACCACAGTTGATAACTTTGAATTGTTTTGAATAAGTGTGTCACTGGACAAATATGGACGAGGGTTTGCTTCATCTCATGTTCCGTCTACTAATCAGAGCAGCAAATGAACGATTAGCTTTCTTCCCATGGGAAGCCTCATAATAATTAAAGTCGTGTGGAGGGAGTAAATATAGAGAAACCCTGCAGTAGTCTCTGTGCAAAATTATTTCTGGATCAAGCTACAACCCACAAGTTACTGACTGATTACCACAAAACATTTTATGACATTATTCCAATGTCTCTCTCTCTCTCCTCTGCCCCCATTTTCCACCTAAATTAGTACCTGGGTTTCTGGCTACAAACTCATTCAGTAGTTCACGAGTGAATTTCATCCCCACTGCATTTGCATACTTCCAAAATCATTATACAGAACTGCTTAACAGGTCAAGTAGAGCTCCAGATAGGGATGCAGTGGCAGGAAGCAAGATCTAGATGCTGATTTACCTTGATTTAGCATATCAGAGGTATGTCAGGAGTTAACAGGAGCCAGATGCAAAGAAATTAAGGAAGGATGGGAGAGCTCTTGGAATTTAAAACGAACATCCTCCTACCACTCTAGTTCCTGTTATGACACCCAACAGGTGATATGTCCATCACTTACTGGGCCTCGTCTGCACTAGACATTTAAAGCTGTATCATATCACTATAAACACTCATGGCTTCCCCAAAGAATCCTGGGAAATATTACCAAAGATGGCCTCTCCCTATTTGAACCAAACTGGACCCTGCAAGCATCCTCTGTGGCTCTTTGTGTGCCTCCTCCAAGAGAGGTCCAAAGGACAGCAACATGAGAATGCGCCTTTTCTGTGGTGGCTCCTCACTTGTGGAATGCCCTCCTCAGGGATCCTTGCTTGGCGTCTTCATTGCAGTCTTTAGGCACCAGGCAAAAACATTCCTCTTCTCCCAGGACTTTGGCTAATTATAGAATCTATGGCCTTTTAAACTGCATAAGTCACCATCCCTGCACACATTCACTATGTGCTGATTAGGGTTGGAGGTAATTTTTTTGACTCCGTTAGTGCTGTTCTGTTGGGAAAGAGCTGGCCTGGTTCAAAACATTTTAGTCAGGCTCCAAAGAGCAAAGTTTTAAAACTTCTGGTCTTGTTATTGTATCTCTTAACTTTGGCATTGAAGGCAGTGAAGGATACATGACTAGGCAGGGCCATAAACAATTTTCCTCTGCTTCTATTTCCATTTTTCAGAGTTATTTAATAAAACAGGTAGATTTCTCATACTTTCAACACTTCCTCACTGCGGTTTTGCAAAAGTAAAGAAATTAAATGCCAAAGAATTTGTTTAAAGTCATGCTAATATTTTTCTGGCAAAAACAAATGGCTGCGTTAACATGCTTTTCACTGTCTTCCACATTTTCCATTTGTGCAGTATTTTTATAAATAGCCTTCTTATTTCTGTTAGCCATCCACAAACTAGCTGACTTAACACACTTTATGAAAACATCAGTTTAAGTTTATTGTTTAGAGGTACATACTCTTCTCCTCCTCCCCCCTTTTTTTACTGCTTAGCAAAACACATAGGAAATTAACAGTCTGTGACCCAACAACTGGCAATTCATAAATTCATTAGATTAAAAAAAAGGGAGAGAGAAATGACTAGCAACATTGCTGTACCATTTAATAGGTTTCCATCTTCTAATTTACATTTCTGTCTGCCCTGGCAAAGATATTACTTCATTAAGAATTTCTTTTTCTAAATGGGAGAAATTTTAATGACTTCTTTTATTGATTGTTTCCATATGCAAGTAGTTATCTTTCTTACAAATGGAAATGAGACCCAAAATTGCAACAAATGGGGCCAACCCTCCGAGTGCACGTGTTCCCCTTTTGGAGAAAGTACACATGCCTGATTGAATTAACTTTAACCTTTCTGTCCATTGAACAGGCATTGTATAATGTGGGGGGCTTTTAAACCCGTTCTCGTTAAATTTATTTTGAATTGCTGAGAACACTCCATCACAATTTTCGGCAAATAAGCTCCGATAATATTAAACACCTGGTCAGCCCTGGGTCCCCAAGGGATCCAATGCTGCTGTGTTTGACCTCTGACCCTTCTGCAGCAAAGTTCAGCCTTTGTGATCTACTCCAATTGTGGCAGGAAAGCTGTTCTGAGGGAAAACACCTGTTGGTGGGGCTGACCCCAAGCCAGTGCATGGATGAAAGGAGCCAGCTGGGTAAAATGGGAGCAGACCCTAGGGCAGGTGTTTCCTATAGCACCGTTCAGAGAAAATGAAGAGAAAATTGGGCAGGGGGCGGGGAGAAGGACATAGAATAGGGGGTTGAGTTAGGTGCTCTCTAGAAACCTGCGTTGGGTTTTCGTCTTATGTGGAGCTTCTCAAGGATCATGTTTAGGAAACGAAAGAAACATTGGCTTCAAACTTCCAAAGGCTCTAACAGCATACTGGGATGATTAAAAACCATGACAGTTTAAGGAATACAAAAAGCAGCTATTTTATGCATGGATGGCCATTTTAGGCGGAATATCAGGCGCTTCCCTCTCCATCCTCTGCCCCTTTTTTGTGCCTTTGAAAAGGCCAGGGTGCCTGCTTTACAGCCACTGTTCCTGCCCCTCCGCCACCACTTTTGACAGCTTTAAACGTGACATAATCTGGTTTGCATCAAAGGTGGGCAACATTGCTCCAAAATCAAACTCTGCGACTGGGAAAGGAAAAAGGGGTAACTTAATGAAGCTGCTGTTTTAATGCTGCCTTTATTTTTTACGCCGCTGGGTCATAATTGACCTATTCAAATACAGCAGCCCCTGCTCCCATTCAGCATTCGCTACTCAAACATCACATTACTCATTTTTGTCAACGGCACTGCCCAACGATATGGTAACGAAAGGAAAATATTTAATCTGGCCCTTTATTTATTAAGTGAGTATCGTGAAATAAGATGACAGCGCTGGAAACCCAACCCTGTTTAAATTCTTCCGTTAATTTCTCTGCAGGCCTTTTCCCCCCCTCTCCCCCCGCCCCTTCCTTAAGGTCGCTTTAGGATGCTGGACTGGAATGTCACTCACTGGCACACTCAAGAGCTGTCAACACACCTCCATTCGCTGATGAGAGCGCCTTCAGCTGGCCCCAATAAAACCCTTCCATTTCCTACAGTCTTCAGGCTCTGGAGTTCTCTAATATTAAACAGCCAATTCGGTCCATTTAAAAGGGAGGAGAGAAAGGAAAAGGGAGGGGGGGCGGCTGTTTCTGAGCAACAGGAATTCAGCTATGACTTGTCAGAATTCATTTCAGCTGTGACCATTTACAGCCTTCAGATCCAAATTGCTTTCCATCATTTTGGCTGAGGCAGGATTTGTATGCCTATCCCAGACGTAAAGGTCAGCGCAGAATGTATTGTGCAAACACTCTCATTAATTCAGCCAGATTCTTGGAGGGGGGAGAGGGGAGAGGGTTATTGGCAAGCACAGCGGCACTAACAATTTGCCTTCATCTTTAGCCCAGCGTTATGGGCCTGATAAAGACCAACATCTGAAACCGATCACTAGAGTGTGTGTGTGTGTGTGCTTGCTTCCCACCGCAAGCCATATCAAAATACAGTATAATAATGAGACATTTACTTCTGCTCTTGCATTTAAAAAAGAGAGAGAGAGAAAAGGCCTCCACCCCAAAAGCTGGAGAACAATTTGCAATCTATTTCCAAGATGACGGAGATAGAAGTGGGAAGAACACAAGTACTTTAAGTAACTTCCTCACTTTTCCCTAGTCATACACTGGGAACAACTGACACCGAATTGCATTCACCCTCCTGGAAGTAAATGCAAGTCATCACTTCACATCAGGCTGTTGCTATGATTTCTGCCAGGGCTGATAACAATGTCCTATTGTTGACGAGCCTCTGTCAGATCCCCTTAGCAGTGAGAATGTCAAAGTGTCAAGTGTTTTTAAGACTGGAAGGTAGGAGACAACCCACACCAATTTCACTCAAGAGCCCAGAGGGTTGAATTCCACCCCCCCCCAACCCCCCAACCCCCCGCCTTCCCCCAAAAGTCCTCACTACACTCAGTGACACAGTGTGATCGGAAGCTGCAGCCACTGGGAAAAAAGAAAAGGCATTTTTAAATATTATACTACTGCTGAGGGAGGGGGAAAGCCCAATATCTTTGCTTGTGCTTTATAGCAATCCCAGCATAACAATTAAATTAAATCCAGACAGCAGGGCTGAAGTTCTTCAGGCTATTTATAGGTAACTGTTCTTAGGAAACAGCTTTTGGGCTGTCTAGAGCATCCTCACACCACAGCTTGGCTCATGTTCCCCCCGTACGGTGAAGCATGTTTTCCTCTCTTTTTTATGGTCGTGGAAGGAAGCCTGAGCCAGAAAGCTCAGCAACCTGCTTTTTGACATTCCCATCGGATCTAATGGCACAGTTCTGATTCTGTTCTCGGAGTTTACTGTGGCACTTATCACCACAATGTATTAATGTCTTCCAACTGTGAACACTCCCTTTGGTAGTACTGCAGCCATCTGTTAAGGCAGCATCCATGGTATAGGAAACAACACGACAAATAGGTTATAAGGCATGGATAACATTTACCACGTAAGAACAAGATATCCAAGAAGGCAAATATGTGTAATGCTGGGTTCAGACAGATCTGTTCATCCCTTGGATGACGGCAGTAGAAACTCACAGGTGTGAATCAACCAAGGTAAACCAAGCATCACAGAAAAGACACACAAAATACTAGTAAATGGATATTATTATTATTATTATTATTATTATTATTATTATTATTTCATCATGTTTGGAAAAAGCAAGCAGTGTGAAAACTGGAGTGCTGTCATCCCTAACCCCTAACCCCTTGTAGTAGTCTTTATACCCGCTCCATGGAATGCCCTCCCATCAGATGTCAAGGAAATAAACAACTATCTGACTTTTAGAAGACATCTGAAGGCAGCCCTGTTTAGGGAAGTTTTTAATGTTTGATATTTTATCATGTTTTTAATATTCTGTTGGGAGCCTCCCTGAGTGGCTGGGAAAACCCAGTCATATTGGCGGGGTATAAATAATAGATTATTATTATTATTATTATTATTATTATTATTACTACTACTACTACTACTATTATACTTAGGGGGCAGGAAGAGTGTGCTTTTGGTGGCTCGGTAAGTTCGAGCACACTCTTTGAGCATTTCAAAGGGTGAAAATAATAATAATGGGTGATACCCACTTAAGCAGTATGCAGAGTAGACTCACTGAAATCAATAGGCTTAAGTTACTTAAGAACGTTACTTTCAATGGGTCTACTCAATAATGGGGGGAATTAAAACAGTAATTGGATGATTAACAGACACAATAAGAAAATTAATCAATTAACCAATTAACCTAAAAGAGAGCTGGTGTGGTGTAGTGGTTAGATTGTGGAACCTAGACTGGAGAAGCTCGTGTTTAAATCCTCACTGGGCCATATAGCTCAGCAGATGGCCATGTAATGGTCATCTCTTGGTTTGATTGGCCTATTGTCAAAATAGAAAAGGGAGAGGAAATATGCTGCCCTGAGCAACTTGGAAGAAAGGTGGGATAAAAACAGAAAGGAAGCATTTTGTCCAGCTGTGCTGAGGGTGCAATGAAGACTTGCACACCCTCCTTTCCCAGTCATACTTGGGCCTAGAGGGACATCTTGCTTGGTTTTCTGCTCCTCCCCTCCTCCTCTTTTCTTTTGTGCTAACAGCATGAGAAGAAAGGGGCACATCTGTTGTTGTTTTTAACTGTACATTTTTGACAATTTCAGAACATTATGCGGCTTGGGACCAAGACACCTAAAAGATCATCACACCCTTTATATACCCAACCAATTACTGTTCTGCAGAAAAGGGCCACTTGCAGATACCACTTCACCAGGAGGTCTCTTCCATACTATGTAGCAATCAGGCTTTTAGTGTGACAGCAACTATCCATGGGACTCAGCACTTTATATGCGTTATAACACTGTGGTGCTAGATGGCGCTGTGGAGTCCTGTTTTTCACCAACAAGATTTCCCTGTATGAAGTTTACAACACGTTTTACAGAATCACTTCTTTGATGTGTCCAGATCCAGCCTTGGAAATTCCTTCCATTACATATCAGACGGGCGCCGTCTCTATTTTCATTTCGGCACCTATTGGAGACACTCCCTTTTTCAACAAGCCTTTTAAGTGGACATTTTGTAATCTTGCCCGTCTCTGCATTGGATTTTAAAGTTGTTTTTTTATATATGTATTTAATCACTGCATCGGTTGGGGACATTTTGTGGGAAGTGATTCCTAAATAAAATAAAATGGCAACGCAGTCTGTTCTTGGCCACGTTGCTTTTGCTATGCAGCTCTGGAGCTAGGCTTTTCTTATAGTTGTTTCTCTAGCATTGCCTTGAAGTGGCCGCTGCTGAGGAACTCTCACCACCGCTAGTCAGGCAGCAGCACCTGCGGAGGCAGTGACGTCGTGCTTCGAGGGTGTTAGCCTGGCAAATTTCATCAGTACTAAATTAACTCCAGAGGATAAAAAATCTTATTAGAAAATAGCAACACCATAAAAGGTCCTTGCTTTCGTGTTATTGGAGTCCTCGAACGGCTTTACCAAAGAAAGTCATCAGCTTTCAGCACCGCCACCCCTTTCAATCAGGCCCAGCTTCTGGTTTCTGGCATTAGCAGTCTGCCTGTTGCGATTGCAAATCTGTTCCAGCTACTGTACTGTATGGGCAGTTTTAAACCTGGCTTAAGTCCCAGGGGTGAGCCTCTACTTTCCATGTCACCGAGCGCTGTGTCTCTGCTTAGTTTCTTCACCTGTGGTTTAATCATCTGTGTTACACTTCAGTATTCTCGCAGTGTCTAGCTGAGTACTAATCCCACTTGGGCCCATTACATAAAATTTTATTCACTATTTAGCAAACTGAAAATAGAGGCATTTTTCAGTTTGCCGGTGTTAATGAGGATCATGGAGGGGAAGGGCAACATACATCCAGTTTTCAAAGTAGTTCCGTTTCTTACTTTCCAAAGCCACTGTCTCACCCCCCTCGCTCTAATGTACTCCGTAATATTTTAACAACTCCTTCGGCCTTCCTAGTTTATATCTCCTTAGCCTGTTAGTCACAAAGAAACTAGTACTGTCTTGGATATTCTTAAAAAGAAATACTTACCATATTTGTATCCCACATATTGTCCAAAAGGCATAAGACAATCTCCATGAGATCTTCTCATTTGAGCTTCACAACATCCCTGTGAGGTAGAATCCCTGTGAAGGTTGGGTGGAAGAAAGCAACTTACCCAATACCATCCTGGAGGCAGCATGGCTGAGTGGGGATTTGAACCCAGGTTCCTTGGCCCAAGATCAAGTCTATGTCAAGTGCATCATTTTTCTTGCTCCCATCCAAAACATGCAGACAGAGGAACTTTTTTGCAAGTTAGAAAGAGATCTTTATCCAGGCAACTCATGGTACAGGCTCAGCAGCAGACTCAATGTGCAGAAGTCATGATTCAGGAGGCTAGGAGCAGGGCTTGAAGTTCAGGACCAGATGGAAGTGATGGAGATGTCCCAGCAAGTTTCCCCACCACTCCCACCAAGCCTTTAAAGATGAAGTGTGGTGTGTGCACTTGCAAGACTCTCCCTCCTTGTATGAATGTTGGGCTTCCAAGTGCACACTGTCAGGGTGTGTGGCTCTTCAGTCTGAATGGCCATCATTCACTTCGAGATCCTGATCTTTAGAAATCTTATTGTTGCTCTCTCTCTCTCTCCTAACTCTGCCAGTCATCCATGTCTGGGAAGCACACATCAAAGGCAATGGGTTAACAACTATTACTGCCTCCAAATATGAAGACTACCAAGCTGCTCCCATTTTCTCAGCATACTTACGTGTTGCTAGCAAACAAGCAAGTGCAGTAATCTTTCCATGTTCTTTCAGTTACAGGAATAGCTTATTAGAATACATATGTGTTGTAAGAACATAACACCAGAGGAATAACTCAGATTAGTGCCCATTCCCAAAGTGGGTAATGGAAAACTATTCCATTACAGAGGGTTTCCAATGACTTAATTTTGTGTTTCAGTATATATACATCGCGGTATGATATTTTTCCATACAAGCTGATGTCATTGTA